ATTATAATAATTAATATTTATCTTTTTAAATTTACTTCAAAATAAAAGGCCCTAGGTACGAGGGGTGAGTGCAGCGACACAGATCACGTTTGCGGTACCAACCTTGCCCGTTGCGTCTTGTTTCTAGAGTCTTCCGAGCCACGTCACCACCAACTTCCAACGAGGAACAATTTTTCGATCAGCAAAGAAGAATGTACCGCTTATTTTCTGGAAAAATCTTCCTCTTACTCAATCCACTAGACCTGGATTTGGAAGATTGATACTCTTCCTAAAATTCAATATCTTGTTTGGTTAATGGTTCATGAGAGATTACTTATTTTTAACCCCCTATTTAATTGGGATGGTTAGGTTCTATAATTTATGTCCCTGCTTTTAAGAGGGCCCTAAAACTTTTAATCATCTTTTTAGAAAATGTGTTTTCGCATATAATCTTTGGAATGAGATTATTGCTCCTCTTGACACTATTAACTATCACGATCTTGATTTCTAGGGCTAGCTTAAAGCACGTTGCACTCACAAGGCTGGACTTATGCTTGTGGTTGGAACACTATTTTCTTTTACCATTTTGGCTATTTGGTACTTTAGAAACCAATTAATCTATAACAAGTATTACTCTACTATTTTTGAAATTAAGGATTTTATTTATAAGAAAGTGGGATAGAGTTTAATCAAGTTCTTGACATTTCAACAACTAGAGTTTCTTGTATTACTATTCATGTTGGTTGGACTACTCCTCCAACTAATTTCATTAAATTGAACACTAACGGTTTCACACTAGGTAATCCTAGTCTTGTCGATGTGGGCAGAGTGTTTAGGGATGAATTTGGCAGGTGGATACTGGAGTTCTCTCATCATGTTGGTCACACCATCAGGTTAGCGATTGAACTTTAGGCAATCCGAGATGGGTTGTCCATTGCCTTAAGCAGGGGTTTTAACAAACTTGTTCTTGAAATTGATTCAAAGATTGCTATGACTTTAATTGATAAAAGTAATTGTGATTACCACTCATGGGTACACTTGTTGTTGATTACAAGATGTTGTTGGACCAAGTACCCGATCTGTAGTTCAAGCATATATATAGGGAGGCTAATGCCATTGTGGATCATTTAGCTAAGAAGGGAGCCAAGTCTACTTATCATTTTATTGTGCATAACAACTGTTCAACTGATCTTGGCCATATTTTATACTCAAATTCTTTTGGGAATTTATTTTCCAGAATCATTGTACTTGTTTAAATTTATATAATATGCTCTTATTTACCCAAAAAAAAAAAAAAAAAGCAAAGCAGAATGTAAAAAAATTAAGATGGGATTGTATATTAAAAAATTAATTTAAATATTAAAATGAACTTTTTTAATTTATGTTTTTAAGTGTGCATTTTTTATACCATGTGTGTGGTTTTACCTTTTTTTATTCTTTTTTTTCTTTTTTTAAATCTGAATTTGCCTCATGTTATTTCATTCCAATGGAAAAGACTACAGATAAGAAAAAACACCCATAAGCTTCATGAGTCTAAAATCTTCCTTGGAATATGACATCTACTATCTGTGAAGGAACCTCTTCAATCCACACCTTTTCCTCACCATCTAAAGCCCCCCTTGCTAAACCATCTGCTGTCCTATTACTTTCAGGGTAGATATGCTACAGTTGGCACACTTGGAATTTTGCCATAATAAAAACACAACCTTGAACCACCATCCCTAATTCCCAATATACCCCTTCACCCTTTTTACCCATTACTACTACTACATTGCTACTATTGCACTCCACCACCAACCTATTGAATTCCAACTCACACGCCCACACAAAGCCCCTCTGCAAGCTACTGGCCTTCATTGCCTCTAGAGAAAGACAATCGTGCCCCCTCGCTTGCAAAGCTGCCATGACATTCCCATTCTCATCTCTTATATTGCCCCTATTCCAAAAGTCTATTGCTACTCAAAAATTGCCCTATCTACATTAAGCTTAAATAAAGGAGCAATTGGCGAAATCCATCTAATATCATTCCTTCACCTCCCTGCTCCCCATCATCATTTGGTGGATCTTGGACCAACTTAACCTCCCTCCTATAACTCATAGCATGCTATATAATTTGCATTGGGTCCCTACCCTGTCCCTCCACACCACTTCATTCCTATTATGCCATAATAGCTAGCACATACAATAAAAAGGCTCCAATTGCTCTTGTGAAAGCTTTTTTGCCACCACCTCAACACGCAAGCCCACTTGGCTTCCCAACCAGACTACCCGTGCCACCACACACTCTTTAAACAGTGAAGTAGGACTCTTCCTCTATCCCACAAATTGGACAAAAAGTATCCACCTCAACTTGTCTTTGACGGAGATTATCCTTGGACAATAACACGCCTCTATACACACTCCATACTAACAATCGAACCCTCTCAGGCATTTGTAATTTCCACAAAGAGCATGCTCGAAACTGCCTCTCCCAACCGATGGCCTATCAGCATTATCACCAACCATTGGGCAAGCTACATGGTATCTTAATTTCACTGTATGTCTTCCACGCTTAGTGAATTGCCACACCCATCCATCCTCCAAACACCTTCAGCTTAGGAATCCTTAATACACTCTACACATCATATGCTAAAAAAGTAAACTCCACCACTTCATGCCTCCACACATGGGATTCCATATCCATAACTCACTAACCTCTTGTAAACGGTACCCCTCCGGTCTAGTCGTAGATACTAAAAAATTTGAGACACTTGGTAACCATAGATCCTCTCAAATCTTAATCTACTTTCCATCCCCCACTTTTGTCCTACATCCCTTCTCAAGCACCTTTCTAGCTTCCCATATACTACACCATGTAAAACTTGGCCTATACTCTTTCCCTACTGCCATAAAATCATATCTAGGATAGTACTTAGCCTTAAGCACTTTTGCTGCTAAAGTGTTCTCATTCAAGAGCAATCTTCATCCCTGTTCACCCAACATAGCCAAATTAAACTCATGCATGGATCTAAATCCCAACCACCTATCCCTCTTCGACTTCACTAACCTCCTCTATTCCATCCATTGAACCTTATGCTAATCCTCCCCACCACCCCACCAATACCTATTCATAATCCTCTCTAGTTGCAAACATAGAGCAGTAGGAAGTTTAAACAAACTCATGATATAAGAAGGTAGAGATTGCAACACTATTTTGACGAAAACTACCCTGCCTCCTCTAGAAAGAGGATGCTCTTGCCAAGAATTTATCTTTGCCCAAAATGAGTTCCGCATCTAGAAAAATCAACATTCTTGATCTTCCCACACTCATCAGCATGCCCAAATATCTCCCTTGTCCTTTCGCCACCCGCATGCCCAAAACAACCCCAATCCTCTCCCGTTGTGGTTGGGATACATTATTATTTAAAAG